AAAAAGAAAAAAAAGCGGGAAACGATGAAAAAACACACCCCGAAAGAAAAAGAAAAAACAGCGGGGCTGCGGCCGCGCGAAAAGTCACAAAAGAAAAAAAAAGTGGGAAACGACGAAAAGCCACAAAAGAAAAGCAAAAAGCCACAAAAGCGGGAAACGACGAAAAGCCACGAAAGAAAAAGAAATAAGCGGGAAACAACAAAAAGCCACGAAAGAAAAAGTAATAAAAGAGGGAAACGACAGACGCGCAGCTGCGAAACTGGCGACTCGAAAAGCGTGACGATGAAAGAAAAAAGAAAAAAAGACGCAGCCGCAAAACAGACGACGCAAAAACCGCGAAACGACAAACGAAGAACAAAAAGAAAATGAATATCCGCGCGGCTTTAAACACACGGAACAAAACAAAAAAGAAAAGAAAAAGAAATATCTCGTCGGCCGCTTATCGGTGGCAGCTTCAAGATATTCCATCGCATCTACGCGCGCCGCTGCCCGGCCCCGTGGGCGCTCACTCACGTTTGTTGGCGCGCTGTGAACAATTCGGTACACGCACCGCTCTGCACGCCCCCCTGCCCTCGATCGCCTTCATCCACCGGCCCGCACCAAAACTTCAGCCCAATTTTGGAGCGCAGCGGACCATCGACCTCCGCCCCGCGGCCAACGCTCCTTAAGGGATAGGATAGTGCATTTAACTATTTTTTCTGCTTGTTTTTTTTGGAGTCCGGACATTTCCAGACCTTCCAGAAAATCCGGACTGTCTGGAGCCCAGCATGTCCAGATGTCTGGAAATGCCTGGAAGTCTGGACGTCCGGACAGGTCCAGATGTGCATCCGGATCGATGTCCGGCAATGTGCGGGTCCGGGTCCAGCGTAGCCATAAAAAAAAGCAATATTCTTAGCAGTTCTGCGTCCCCACGACACCGGAACATCAATGGTCCAAAGCCAAAAAAAAACGGTTTTTTTAAACTTTTTTTACGTTTTTCATGAAGCCGCAGTGAGGCCCAATTCATTAGACCGAAAAAGAAGTCCGTCTTAACTTCTTAAGTCACTTTTGGAGGTGATACGAGCATCCTCCCAAAGTGAGTCCCCTTTTCAGCGATGGCCCTGGTCTTACTGGTGGGGAGCAGAACCTGCCGAACACCGGGTCTGTTACGGACTCAGCCAGGGCTCGATCCCTGGTCCGCGGGTTACCATCCGCCAGGCTGCTATTCTATTTTTTGCGAGTCTCTGATCTCAGGTTCCTGACTGTTGGCGCATTCTGCAGTTGGCACCCGTGCTCAAATCCCGCCTCTGGCACTTTCGGGCGATACTTGGCGCCATCCGGCATTCTGGCGCCCAGGCTCAGACCTTCAATTTTCAGTTCAGCCCCGAAGCAAATTGCACTTCTGCCCTCGGACTCAACTTGAGTCCGGTACTTAAGACCGGACTCAAGCTGAGTTCGGGCATTCAGTTTTCGGTCTCAGTGCTTGTGCTTCAGTGTGACTTGCTGTGACATTGTGTACAGAACCAAGATTGCGACTTTGCGACTTTGCCACTTTGTGTCTGCGTCCGTCGAGTCGTGTCGAGTCTGTGTCGAGTTGAGTGAGTGTGTGTGTGTGCTCTCACTCCCTCCCTCTCTCTTCCCCGACCTCGCTGCTCTACCTCAGCCTCGTCACAGGGTCCAGCTTCCCGCTTGTAATATCAGAGTATGAGTGATCAAGGAGAGCATTCCTCCCCTCCCCCAAGTAAAAGTCCATCATCTCCATGAAGAACTGCCCGTTGCTGAAAACCACCAGGTCCAGCACGTCTACCATCTTCCCCCAATTGGAATGCATGGTTATTAGGAATGTATACAAACTGTTTTTCCGGTCTGATGCAGGCATTGAAACGGTATTCACCAGTTCGCAGTAGCGAATGCAGATCCCAGGGCTCGATCCCTAGTTCCCCGTCTTACCTGTGTATAGTATCAGTGTCAACCCGTAGACTTGAACCTGCGACCTGTAGGACCGCCAGTGGTAGGCAGGTTTTCGTAGGTCACAGCTTAGAAGGKAATCGAACTGTAGACTTGTAGGGTAGGAGTCTAGACAGTTCCGAAGTCGTAGCTGTAGGATGTCTGAAGGGTCAAGGTCGTAGCTGCTACTTACCTGAAAGGGCAAAGTCGTAGCTGCTACAGTACCGAAAGGCCAAGTAGAGGTTTCTAGAACTGGCCTTTCGGAGTCAGCCCCTGTTTAGGCCGAGGCAAGTGGGCAAGTGGTGTAGGTCCACTACGCAGAGTCAGCAGTCCCAGGTAGCCCAGTCCGGTCCAGTCAAGCACGTACCGTCTGGGACTGTGCACATCGTGGGCCAAGGGATACAGGGCAGACCAACACCGCACAGAAGTATAAATCAAGAGGCTGCGTCCAGCCATTCATTCATTCCTGTGGATGCCATGCGGAAGCGCTGCCTCAGCAGCTTGTGCGAGGGAGTCTGCAGTGTGCCCGTAGACGAAGTGGGCAGAGGAGCGTAGTGTAGCGATAGGGTAGTGCCAGCTAGCGCTGCCATAGCTGTAGCATAGAGTACGTGTGCGTTGTGTATGGATACGGAGTGTTGCGTGTGGGACATCCAGGGTGATCCAGAGTGCGAACAGTGGGTTGTGTGGGCGCACAGTCGCCATAGCCGGTTGGAAGAGAACTCTTATCTGGTCACGATATCTTTGAGTACTGTGTGGGCGCATGTCGCCAGTTGCTGTATCGCTGTTTGCATGCATGACGAAGTGTGAATAAGTCGAGTCTGATTGCACTGGTATCGGAGCAGGTACCCGCTGTTCCACGCGCGCAATGTGTGCAGGGCCGATGTACCATAGCTGAAGTGACCGCCGGAGGAGGCAGTCCGCCATAGCGGACCTCGAGGTGGAAGAAGACGCCGC